CCCCCGCCCCGGGCCAACCCCGCCCCCACACCAGCGATGGGTGTGGCCCCAGGGGGGCGGTCCGGGGAGGGGTAATTTTTTTATTTTTGTTTTTGGCCAAGGGGGGCAGGCTCTCACTGCGCATCCCCCAGTTTTTTTTGTTTTGTTTTTTTTTGGCCCCTCCCGGGCTGGGGTCAGGGGACCACCGCCCCGGACCCCAGGGGCCAGGGCTGCAAACACCCCTGCTAGAGGTCATCTGGCTCCGGGAGGGGCAGGCTCAGCGGGGATGAGTACGGGAGGAGTGAAGGGTTCAGCAGCTTCAAGCAGAGTGACTCTCATCCCCACAGCAACTGGTGACTGCAGTGCATTGGGCCTCCCAGCCGGGTGCCTTAGGGATGCAGGACCCTGAGTTCGAAGGGGTGCACCCTGGCGCAGCAGTCCGGTAGCTCTGGTCCAGGCTGATACTCGTGGGTGTGTAGCAAGGTCTCTCTTCTCCCACTCATCTGAGAGTCCCGTTTTTTACTGAGTGGGTGGGCCCGCTGTGCCGACAGGTGGGCTGAACCCGGCGCATGAAGCCCCCTGCCGGACTGCCTCCCCGGGTCATATCCCCAACACCCCGCAACCCTTTTTAAAAGGGAAAAAAAAAAGAAAAAAAAAAGTACACTAGCCCAGGTGAAGGAGACAGAGTTTGAATCAGTGACCTTCCTTAAGTGAATGATACCGTGAATCTATTCAGCTAGCCTCTTACACGGCCAACAACAGCTAGCCCTAATTATTTCAGGGGAAGTAGAGGGGGATATAGTGCATGTGAGATGAACCCAGTGCAAGAAATGTGCGAAGATTATTAAGGAAGATGGCGGGGAGGAGAAGCAAGAGGACAAGGAGGAGGAGGAAGACAATGAGAAGGGAAAGGAAGAGACTTGGAAGACTCGTTGGACCGAGGCCAACACACATGTGGGTGCGGGAAGGTCGAGATTGGAGGCAAAAGACTGAGGAAGGTGGAAGACGAGCGAAATAAGAGGAAAGGGCGAAGACGACAAGACAGGAGAAAACAAAAACAAATCTAGCGTAAGGAAATTGCCATATTAATTCACGTGTGTGTGTGTGCGCAGAACAACGAGCGCACACATGCACGTTATGGACGAGGGCGAACAGATGTGTGTGTGTGTTTGTGTGTGTGTGTGTGTGTGTGTGTGTGTGTGTGTGTGTGTGTGTGTGTGTGAGAGAGAGAGAGAGAGAGAGAGAGAGAG